GTTATAAGCACCCCGTTTATGATGCCCCTCCGTTAATGAGCCCTCCCTGGTCATGAGTCCCCTCCCCCAATAATGAGCACACCCGGTTATGAGATTCCCTTCCCTCCTGATACGAGCTTCCCTCCAGTAATAAGATCCCCATTCCAATAGTAAGCCCACTAAAAAAGACCTYATGAAATGTATATGTATAAGCCCAGTGCTTATTCTACAGTATTCCATAACACTCTACCACATGAAATAATATATATTATGTTATAGTGTGATTACTGTATGGCTCAAAATTTCTCCTTTTTGCAGTCATATATTGGCAGCATACTTTGTGCTGTGAATCCCTACTTCTTTGTCCATGGTTTATATGATAATGATGTAATGGAGAAATACAAAGAAAAACACATTGGAGACCTGGAACCTCACATATATGCTGTAGCTAATGAATGCTATTATTCTATGTGGAAGAAATCTGAAAGTCAATGTATTCTTATTAGGTATGTAGGCCAGGTATCTATCAAATGTGCGCCTGACCTTGTGTACAGCTAGAATTAATTGTGGCTAAAAACCAAAGGCTGACAGCCAATGACATGACATGCTTATTTCTAACTTCTTACATAAACGTACAGTGGCTTTAGGAAACACGTACAGCTCTGATCATTGGGGAGGAGGGGGGCACAATATCAGCAGTCAAACTAAGATATTCTTTCCATTTACAAACTTTTCTTCTTTTTTGAGACTTTGTAAAACCTYATAATTTCTAATTGGTTGAAACCTGACTCTATTATAGTTTTTGAATAAACCCGTAACTGTACTATATATTATTTAACACATTTTTTCCTTTCCATTCAGTGGTGAATCAGGATCTGGGAAAACTGAGTCCACAAAGTTCATCTTAAATTTTCTGTCAGTAATCAGCAGTGCAGGAGGAGTATCTGAAGACTCTGGAATCAGTGTAGAAAAAGCTATAATACAAAGCAGGTTAGCTTTTCAAAAGCATTTCATCAGTCCTTCATTTTAAAGTGAAACTTTGAGAGGAATATGATAACACACAAAAATGTTCTTTTCGTTTGTAGTCCTATATTAGAAGCCTTTGGTAATGCTAAGACAGTTTATAATAATAACTCAAGTAGATTTGGCAAGTTTATCTATCTTGAATTCAATGCAAAAGGTCGAATGGATGGAGGCACAATACAAGACTGTATCCTTGATAAAATGAAGAAAAAAGCATTTTTCATGCAAAACTATTCACTTATTTCATTTATTCACTGATTTTATTTATTTCATTTACTTCATTTATTTCATCTATTTCATTCATTTCATTCATTTCATTCATCTCATTCATCTCATTCAACTCATTCATCTCATTCATCTCATTCCTCTCATTCCTCTCATTCCTCTCATTCATTTCATTTATTTATGCATCATCTTAACATCCATCCTTCCATTAATCCATCCCACACGTCCATATCTAATCTTTCTCCCTAGATTGATTGATTTGTTTGTTTATTTGTTTGTTCCTTTGCACAAGTAATTATAAATTCAATAGAACTTTTCCATATTTTAGTAAGTTGGTTTGTTCTGAAATTTTTCTTGACTTTATTTATTGAAATTTTGATGGAAACAGTTCTATTAGAAAAAGTAAGTTTATATTGGTCATGTTTCATTATTCAAATCTAATGCAACTACTAGATGTTTAACAGTACTGCAGGTTTTAGGAGCCATGGAGATGGTGGGGCACTACAGAATTTTTCCCTTTTTGCATGCTAGTCTTATATAGACCCCTTGCAGCACTTTGTAATGCAGCTCAATCTGGGGGACAAAACAATAGGTTTCAATTCTCAGGAGATTTGAGTTCTTTTGCTTTGTCCCCCAGATCAAGCTGCTTTGACGTCACATGCAAGGGGTCTATATTTTCCAATCTTAGCCCCACCCATGTTTACTCTATATTCCCCTCGCAATTTGAACCCTCACTCTTAATTGAAAACTCAGTCCCTATCCTATGGCTAAAAGCCCTATGTCCCCCACCCCTCTCCTCTTATCTCCTCCCCCTAGTTATAACACATGCTGCAAAGAATAAAACAAAATATAATAATATCATAGTGATGGAAATATTGCATTCAAGGCATGTCTTATGTGTGCTATTTCAATATCTGTAGAATCGTGTAGTTAGACAAAACCCTGGTGAGAGGAATTACCACATCTTCTATTCGTTGCTGGCTGGTGCTTCTGAAGCTCAGAGAAGTATGATATACCAAGTACATTATCATTATCATTTAATTATCATCATTATAATTATCTTTATTCATTTGTTATAATAATAGCTTATTCACTATCAAGACAACAACATCATTGTCATCATGACATCATCTGAATCTCTATTAACATATAACATGATTATTTTCATGTCATCATTTGTCATCATGACATCATCATCTTTATCAACATTAACATATATAACATCATGATTATCATCATGGCATCATTGTCTTTATGACATCATCTGCATCGACATTAACATATATAACATCATGATTATTTTCATGGCATCATTGTCAATATCATCATCTGACTCATTACATCATGATATTTTCCTCAAAACAGATGAGCTAGTTCTCTACCCCCCAGAGAAGTATTATTATCTACAGCAGAGTAAATGCATCAGTGATCCATCTATTAATGATAAAGAAGACTTCCAGAAAGTATTGGTAAGAATATTATAAAAATAAAATATTGTAGAGAATGAAGTTATGACAGTCTTAWTTACTGGTAACTAATTATTAGTAAATTAAAGAGAGAGACCCTCACTCATTTTGAAGCTTACCATCCTTTAATCTCCTCCCAGTTTCATTCTAACTATATTTTGTTTGCAAACTTACTCTTCTCCTCTTTTATAATTATGAAAACTCGAACTCTATTTTATCATTTTACATCATATTTCTCCCTGTATAAGTATTATACCATTCAAGTCTTCCAGATGTCCTAAATTTGTATAATCTTTTTGCTTTCTAAAGAATGCATTGAACATTATGAAGTTTAGTGAACAAGAAGTTTCTGATTTGCTTCAAGTAATCTCTGGTATTCTAATGTTGGGTAATGTAAACTTCTTAGCTGCTGGAGGTGCACAGGTGGCTGACAAGAATGGTAGGTTGATTTTTTAAATAATTGATTTGTATTGCATTATCAATATTGACCCAGGGATTTATTTTATGTGAGTCACACACTAATGGAAAGATTTCTCAGTCTCACAAGGCCAATGGTTATGAGTAAAGTGTGTGAAACCAGATCAACTCAATTTTTGTTGTGAAGAAGAAAAAAAAACAACAGAAAACTGAATGAGAACCAGTGTATGTAATGGCTTGTTCAGGATTCAAACCCATATAACTGCAGCAGTGAGAAATTAAAAACTGCTTTTCACTACATTTATTGGTCAAACACTAACAGCATTATAACACAGTGACCTCACTAAGATCTATACTAACCTGGTAGTTGTTTACTGAGATCTAATTAATTGAATCTTTATTCAGTACTTGAGAATGTGGCCAATTTACTTCACATTGACTTCTATGATCTTGGTGATGCACTGACCATGAAGACTATGATACTACGAGGGGAGGAGATCCAGTCACCACTGACTGTAGCGCAGGTACAGTATGCAGACGGATGTTTGGATAACAAGAGGGTTGGGTAAGACTGTGATACTACAAGGGGAGGAGATCCTATCACCACTGACTGTAGTGCAGGTACAGTATGCAGGTCAATCTGTGGATAACAAGAGGGTTGAGTAAGACTATGAGGGTAGGAGATCCAGTCACCACTGACTGTAGCACAGGTACAGTATGCAGGTTGATGTGTGGATAACTAGAGGGTAGGGTAAGACTATGATAATTTGAGGGGAGGAGAAGCTGTAAATAGATGTAGGTAAATTTRCAACACAAGTTTGTGCTTAAAAATGGGTTATTATTTATTGTTATAGGCTGAAGATTCAAGAGATGCCATGGCCATGAATCTCTATGCTTGCACCTTCAAATGGGTTATTCGAAAAATCAACAAGAGAGTCAAGGCCAAAGAACATTTTTCATCTGTTGGTTTGCTTGACATCTTTGGCTTTGAGAACTTTGAGGTAAGAGTCTATCCTCATACATGTACTATACAACATTATCTTTTAGTCAGTTTGTCAATGTTGGTACACATCATAAATGTATACTAATTCCTCTGTACTTTTCTCCTCTTGCAGATAAACCGGTTTGAGCAGTTCAACATCAACTATGCCAATGAGAAGCTGCAGCAGTATTTCAACAAGCATATTTTCTCTCTTGAACAGCATGAGTACAACAGGTATAAATATAACACCATTCTCCCTCTACATGAAGTCAAAGCCACACAAGTCAGGTGTTTGCAACTGCTGAATGCAACTAATTTTGAATGTCTGTCTGTCTGTTTAGGGAGGGTCTGCCTTGGACAGACATTGACTGGCAGGATAATGGTGAATGTCTTGATCTCATTGAAAGGGTAAGAATACTTATTAACATCATCACAATCATCATTATAATTGTCATGTTTATTATTATTGCCATTATTTGTTACAAGAATTATAACTACTTTCACTTTAAGAATCAGGTTAACATGCCCAGGGGTGTAGCCAGGATTTTTGGAAGGGAGAGGCCCAAATCAAAAATCTGCTATTTTGTTTAAGGCCCAAGATGCCGAATCAAAAAAAACCCTTGCCTCCCTGCCTATGCTCGGACTTGCAGTTAACACACTCATGCACTAACTGTTTCAATTATTATAATCTAAAGTGGGTTTTTCTTTCACTAGAAACTTGGTGTATTGGCTCTAATTGATGAAGAAAGTCGTTTCCCAAAAGGTACAGATGAATCCATGTTGGATAAACTGCATTCAAGTCATCAGGTAAGTCAATACCTCACATTACAAATAATTCGACATGAGAGAGACAGTGCAAACGTCATGTAGAACATAGAAATGCGATCCACTTTCGAAGCTTTTTTGCCAAATCAATGTCAGTATTGAAAGCAGTATCTTGTCAATATAAACAAGTTATCAGATGAAGCTGGTCTTGTTTGTATGGCAAAAGAAAGTCCATAGTCTTCTTTTGTTTATTTTATTGTATGGATTGTTGTTTTTTTGTTTGCAGGAAAATGGATTTTACTTGAAACCAAGGGTTGCAAACACAAAGTTTGGGATCAAACACTACGCAGGGGAGGTATGTGTCCATAGAGCACTGATTATTGTAGACAGCCTTATCTGCCGCTAATATTGTGGTTACTATTTATAATTCGCTAGGTTAATTATGACACCAAGGGGTTTTTGGAGAAAAACAGGTATGGTCATCTTCATTTACTTTTTAAAAATTTTTAATAGCTGTTTTCATAGCAT